TTGGCGGTTTTCGAGAAATCGCTATTTCAATAACGTTAATTTTTCAAAAACTTCGAAAAAAATCCACAAGAGGGCGTCAAATCATTTTTTGGCATTTTAAAATTTGCACACTAATTCCAAGTTTAATGAACGTACAGTTTTGTTGTATACCCAAGAGAAGAAAGTATTTGATGAATTATCCAGTAAATTAAGTTGAAATACCTAACCATTTTTAAATATGTTACATCTACATAGTTGATAAAATTGAAAATTATACGCTATGTTTGGTATTATATATGGCCAACTCAAAACGTGCTGCTACTGTTCGGACTTATTAAAATCGAATCTATAAGGTATCTGCTTCTCTCCAAATGTGTCGTAGTGCTGCCTTTATTGGCGGTTTTCGAGAAATCGCTATCTCAATTACGATAATTTTTTGAAATTTTGAAAATAATCCGCAAGAGGACAAAAAATGCTTTTTCGTATTTCATACTTTCCGCAACTTATTCCAAGTTTAATGAACGTACAGTATATATGTATGGCCAAAGAAGATGTTTGATAATTTGTCTAGTAAATTTAGTTGAAATACCAAACGTTTTTTGAATATGTTACTTCTGCATTGTTTATAACTTTTTTAATACACGCTATGTTTGGTATTATATATGGCCAAGTCAAAACATGCTGCTACTGTTCTGACATAATGGAATCAAATCTATAAGGTATCTGCTTTTCTCCGAATGTGTCGTAGTGCTGCCTTTATTGGCGGTTTTTGAGAAATCGCCCTTTCAAAAACGATATTTTTTTGAAATCCCGAAAAAAATCAACAAGAGGGCGTAAAATCATTTTTTGTTATTTTTAGATTTGCCACTTATTCCAAGTTTAATGAACGTACAGTTGTGATATATGGCCAAGAGAGAAAAGTATTTGATGAATTATCCAGTAAATTTAGTTGAAATACCAAACCGTTTTTAATTATTTTACATCTACATAGTTAATAAAATTGAAAATTATATGCTATGTTTGGTATCATGTATTGCCAGTTAAAACGTGCTGCTACTGTTCTGACATATTAAAATCGAATCTATAGGGTATCTGCTTTTTTTTGAATGTGTCGTAGTGCTGACTTTATTGGCGGTTTTTGAGAAATCGCCCTTTCAAAAACGATAATTTTGTGAAATTTATCAAAGAATCGACAAGAGGGCGTAAATTTTTTTTCGGTATTTCAGACTTTCCTCAACTTATTCTACTTTTAATGAAATGCATTATTGTTGTGTGACAAAGAGAAAAATATCTTCTTTGATGAACTATCCAGTAAATTTAGTTGAAATACAAAATCAGTTTCAAATTTGTTGTATATACATTGTTTTGAAAATTGAAGAATATACGCTATGTTTAGTATTATATATGGTCAAGTCAAAACGTGCTGAGACTGTTCTGACATAATGAAATCGAAACTTTGAGGTTTCTACTTTTCACCAATGGTGTTGCAATGCCGCCTTTATTGGAGGTTTTCATGAAACGACCATGTTACACGACGAAAATTCAGTCATTTTTAAACATCTCTCAAAGAATTATAAAAAAATTTTGTGCACTGTAACAGTCGCTTTAGCTTGTTTACTATATATTACCAATACGAGGAGTGTAGTTAATGATTGTTTTGCTTTAATTGCTATTGTGAAACTAATCAAAATATACACTTTCTTCTTTAAAAATCATTGGGAACATTTAATTGTACGCGTGGGTATTTTCTGCGATTCTGTCAGTCACAATTTCGTGTTTTGCTGCTAGCTTCACATAGGTAGCCATCGACTCAAATTGTATTGTGTAGAGTGTATGAATCTTTTTTATATCAATCAATAAAATCTCGCCCCTCTTGGGCGGAAAGACATGTGAGTAATGTTTGAAAAGTGCATAAATTTACGATTTTTCACCTATGACGATATAGGCGAAATAGGCTTTTTTCAGCAATGGATTACACATAATTTTAAAATTTTGTAATCATCGACTCAAATTGTATTGTGTAGAGTGTATGAATCTTTTTTATATCAATCAATAAAATCTCGCCCCTCTTGGGCGGAAAGACATGTGACTAATGTTTGAAAAGTGTATGTTTTACGATATTTACTTTTAAAGTAATTACTCGTGCTGCATTTTTTTGTTTAAAACTCATATTTATAAGCTGTTGTTTGATGATTCGCACTTTACATTTTTCTGGCACGCACTTATTGTTCCAATTTACAGAAATAACGTATATAACTTTATTTTTGTATTTTTATATTCATTCGCTTCTTAATTGCGTATGGAAATTTAGTCCCGCCTCCGATTCTGATATGATATTTTAACTTTTCGCTTGGTTGCACACAAAGGTCACCGTGAGAGTCACTTCACAGTGGTACCAAACAGCTATACCAGGGAGGCGTATTTCTGATGCACTCATATTGTTAAGAGACATATGTATACAGGAACAAAACAAAACCGGAGAATCTTCCATAATATCATTGGATTTTAACAAAGCCTTCGATAGTGTAGATTTGGATTACCTCTTTAACGTTCTTCGTAAAATCGGATTCAAAAATAAATTCATGAGTGTAATCCGGACATTATATATAAATTCAGAAACTCGAGTGTTACTAAATGGTTATCTTAGTGAAGCAGTGAAACTCGAAAGAGGAATTCGACAAGGAGATCCGTTAAGTCTTTATATGTTCACATTAGCTATTGAACCACTCTTAATTAGAATAAATACCTGTAATTCTATCAATGGAATATTGATACCACAAAATAAAGAAATAAAACATATCAGCTATGCGGATGGTATTACCTTGACAATTCGAAACAAGACATCAATATATTCAGCACTGGATTTGATAAACAAATTTCAACTAGCAACGGGAATGAGGTTAAATATGGAAAAGACGAAACTTTTGAAAGTAGGAACATGGAATAATCCCAGTTTATTTTCTAAGTTGTCTATCGTTCAGACTTTAAATATACTTGGAATAATTTTTTCCAATTCTGACACATCGGATGAAAATTGGCATTTTTGTTTAAATAATGCCAGAACTGTAATAGACGAATTGATGGATATTCCTCTATCTTTGGATGGAAAATGTCTTCTAATTAAACTGAAAATATTACCCTTGTTTTTATATTGTGCGAAAGTGTTTCCTATTCCCCTGCATATCGGTAAACAAATCAATAAAGATGTGGAGTTTTTCATATTCAATGGAAGAAGTGTTTTAAAAATAGAAACTTTGTGCAAATGCAAATCATTGGCTGGATATGATATGATTAACATTCCTATTTTTACTATGAGCATGTATGTCATGACAGCATTTGAGTATTATTGTAAAAGAACTAATATTGCTATTGATCAATGCAGACAATCTGTTTTCAATTTTGTTGAATACAACATAGGTCAACAGCTTAGTTTATTTTTCAAATTGCCTACTAATAATAGTGTATCCCATGTTTTTTTCCCTCAGAAATACTATGGAACTATAATCAGCTTTCTGAGACAGTACAACATCACTGAAACTGATTTAATTCAAGGAAAGCATAGACATTTATATAATAAAATTGTAAATAATTCGAAGGGTGGGGATAGAATTGTTTTTTTGAGAGATGGTAATTTAATAGGGGCTTGTTCAAATATACATTCTAAAATTTTGGCCAATAATGTAAGGACTTTCAATTATAAATTAATGTGGGACATTTTATCAATCAAGGTTAAGCCAAGAATAAAACATATTTCTGGGGATGATATTTGTGTGTTATGTAAACAAGATTCTGAATTTGTGTCTCATTTGTTTTGGAATTGTGTTTTTACTCAGAATGTCTATGATTATATCTTTTCTGTGGCATTAAAAATGAGTAACTGTGTGATAAAAAATATTTATAAAACTTGCATTTTATTGGACTTAAATGACCAATGTTATATAAATTTATCCATTATACAACGTAATGCTATTATATTGTTATTTTGTACAGCAAGATATAAAATTTGGTTGGAGCGTAACGCTGTAATATTTCAAAATCATAACCCAAGCATAAATAATGTTATTATGAAAATTAGGAACTCACTTCTAATGAGAAGAAATATAGAAAAAGTGAGAAAGGAATTTTGTTATATAAAAGAACTTGCCATGATTTGTAATAACTTGTGAATAATTATAAAATTATGTTTTTAAAAAAAAAAAAAAAAAAAAAAAAAAAAAAAAAAATACCGAAGTCGGGAAGTATGTAAATTCATTCTCTCCTATTAGTATTACTGTATTACGGTTCCATTACATTTGAACCCACGTACATTTGAACCCATGACAATTGCACCTGTATGCTATTGCACCTATGGAATTTTTTTTGTTTCACGGATAGTTAAACCCATACTAACCCTAACCCATGGGTTTTAGCACCCGCATATAGATTGAACCCGTGGATATACGCATGGGTTCAAATGTACGGTCACCCTGTATTACAGTAGTGTACGGTATTTGGTGCAGCGGTGTGGCTCACCGTGCTAAGCATTAGGAACGAGAGGCCGTAGTTTGCCATATCGTTAAGCCGTCTTATCGGCTTTCCTCTACCCCGGGATAAATATGTAAATCCTATTTATGGCTGTGGGGGTCATTTAAACCTGTAAGGGGTGGTACAGGCGGTGTGGCTCAACGGGCTAAGCGTTAGGAATACGCTCGCCACCGCACCTCTAATTACTCTGCGTGGGTTCGCAGGTTCGAATCCCATGCAGGGATGGTTATGTGCGAGAGGATTGCTTGACTCCTCGCCGTCGTTGGGTGGTTCACGTAACCGCTGGTCGGTTACGGCTTCCTCCACCACCAAGTCCATGCCCGACTTGGAATGGTAACCGGACGAGAGGCCGTGGTTCGCCATATGGATAAGCCGTCTTATCGGCTTTCCTCTCCCCCGGGATAAATATGTAAATCCTATCCTACCTATGATGTCGAAAGTTACGGTACACATCTACCTGCCTACTGACCTACAAACTTCCAAAAGTTGCCTAAACACCTTATTCAATTTTTTCCAGTTTATCAAGATGTTTATTTGTAGGGTATACAGTAGTAAAAACATGAATACTCTTCGTACATGGAGCAAAGTATGCATGTCACAATCAGAGCTTTATGCAAATTGTCGTCTCTATTCTGAATCTAATAGTGATAGTAAGAAATGGAAGCACGAAGTCAAAGTAAAGCATTCAACTAAGAAAAAGCAACAAAATATTGGTTCATTATTAGAAGAAGTAACCGAAGAATTGAAAACCAAACCTGACTCATCAAGCAGAATTATCCAAGGACAACTTCTTGGACAACTGACACTTATAAATAATAAGGTTCAGATAAGGAGAGATGGAGAAGGTGGTCGGTTCGAAGGTGCTAAGTCACAACCTCCAAATAAAAAAAATTGGTCTGGAAAAAGGCAAACAAAGGGAGAATTCAGATCGAGAGAAAAAATTATGTCCGTTTCGCAATTTGTCGAGCGCTTTCAGGCAAACAAAAATCAGGATCGATCTCCCATCATTCAGCAAACAATCGATGCTGAAAAAGTCAACAGCTATATCAACACTTTAATGAATAATAAATCACGTCTTGGGATGTTTAATCCACCCAAGCAAAAAGAGCATTCAGGTATACTGATTACTAGTTTGAGAAATACATCATTTTTGCATTTGCATATCTGTTACTGAAGTACTGAACAGCGGCTATATTGTTTATGCTCGCTAAGCATTCTCCGAAAGCTGGAAAGGCTTCATTCTAATTTGTCTTCATGAACTTCATGTACAAAAGTACATTCATTTGCTGTAATTATAATTTCACAGTTCTGATTCTGGCCAGGGTTAAATTAGCACAAGATGAGAGTTTTGATGAAATGACTTCAGTTTATAATCATGACTTTTATAGCAAATTAGCAAAGGGATTAAACATTAGTAAGTTACCATTTACTATGTTTGATCCAGGCCCTTTGTGTGATGACAGTCATTTTTTAAAGTTGTTTTTCCACACTCAATACTATACAAATATGTGAAAAAGATGCAGCTGGAAATTATTATGACATATGGACATATTGTTAGTTTTCTAATTATTGCACAATGAGCCGTCTCATCGGCACCTTCAATTCAAACCCCATAGGGATAATCCTCTTCATTTCATCTATCAAAATTACTTAATGTTAAATGATCATTTCATGCTTTTTGTGCAGTTGATGAAAAACCTAACCATAAAACGGCAATTGACTGGTGGGATGAGTGTCAACGCAATGCAGATAGAGAGGGAAGAGTTGTTAAAAATCAATATCAGGTATAAAGTGTTGCACATTTGAAAAATTTGAGGTTCAAGTTAAATTATGTTCATCCATGCAAAATGACATACTGCTTCAAATCAAATTCGAGTTAATATTGCGATGCAACATCAACAGAATGCTGCAAAGTAGCTAAGACAGTTGAAGGTCATGCTCAATGTAATTCTCAGACATTTTTAATGATCCACACCAACCTCATTGCAGGAAATGATGGATTGGATGATAGAAGGGAACCTATTGCAATTTCCAGTGGGAAACGAAGTTGGGATGGAAGATGAGCAAGATGTACCATTTTACAAACACATCTTTCTGCATGAACATTTGGATGATAGATTCCCAAAGCAGGGTCCAGTAGACAAGTTTATGGAGGCTGTCATACTTGGATTGTCCAAGAACTCATACTTGACTGTAGCAGAAAAGGAAGACCACATAAACTGGTTTAAAAATTACTTCAATGAAAAATATGAAACATTGAAAACTCTGGGACTAGGAGCTATTAGTAATAACCAACCCAAGTGATATAATTACTGTATATGCACAAATTCTGCTGTAGATGAGAATTTTTGTTCGTCTGGCACTAGGAGAAGAAGATCTGGTTGAGCAGCTTTGGTCAGGTGTCGGAAATTTGAAGCCTATGCTTTGCTGTGGTTGACTATACAAGTGATATTTCGGGCAAAATTCTTGATAAAACTCCTACTTTCAATCTTGTGAGCTGTTAATTTGTAAAACTTTGGATTTTCCAATTGGGTTTGGCATATCTGTGCCGAAAATTGAAATAATCTGTTTTTAAAATGAAGTTAGAGGAGTTGACATGTATAATACGATCGAGAGCTCCTCTCATAACGGGCTTCATTTGATTAGTCACCGATAAATCCCGGATATTCTCACCAACCATTCTTTTTTTGCGCTTGGGCCCTCTTTCAAATTCAACGCCCCATTTGTCGCAAAGAATTTTCCCACTTTTCAAACATTCATCAACTATTCTTTCTCTTTCGGGAGAAATCTCAGAACGGGAGAAATAGTTGTACGGGTTAATGGGTCCTTAAAAAGAAAAACGGTTTCATTACATCTGCACCTGTATACTATTGCACCTATGGACATTTTTTTGTTTTACGGATATTTGACCCCAAACCCGCATATAGATTGAACCCGCGGATATACACGCTTTCAAATGCACGGTCACGGTCACCAAGAAAAACACATCTGTGTCTTGTCTAGCGGCGTGAATACCCACAAGGTTGAGGGAATGATTGTCACATTTAACAAACACTGCATGCTTGGTTTTTTCGTATATCCTTTGTTGTACACCATTCCGATGTCCCACCATTACATCAGCATTGTCATATCACTGCGAGCGACAATTATCTATTTTTATCTCATCTTTCTGTAGTATGGAGTAGGTTGGTCTAACCAAGTTGAGAGCGACGCTAAAGAGCCAAGTGCAACTGAGACTGTGAAGAGCTAATAGCTTGAACACTGACTGGCGGCTTACTTATCGAATCTGATATGTTGTGTATCCGACCAGTTGTGGCCAATCAAGCTCATTCTCCAAATAAATTAAACATGGCGTTCACACGTTACGACGACAAGTTAGGTCGAGTTTCGGCGGTATTCTGGTCGACGATGAATTCAAAAAAGTTGCCACATGTGGTGAAGACAGTTAATAATAGTGTCCCGCTACACTACAGTTGGCGGCGTTATACAAAACGTATTGTCAAGTCTGGGTAGATAAACAGCGTTGTCAAGTTCGGATAGATGTATAATGATAATAACCGTGCTCGACAGTGTGGCACATCGCGCTAGAAACACGCTCGCCACAGCATCCCTGATTACCCTACCTTGGTTTGCATCCCGCGGGAGATAATTATGTGCAAGAGAATTGTTGGATCGCCCGCCGCTGTCGGGTTAAGCATTTATATTCCATCGTATTAGAAAATGAATTCGCTTTTCGATGGTATTACCTATCAACGAAGTACGATAACATACTTAACGAGCCTTCCGCAGAATAAACAAACACGCCGACATATGCTTGATTATAATTAATAGTGGTTAAATTCAATAATTTACACCAGTAACAAAGTCAGGCTGGACCCTATATCTAAGTGATTTTCCGCCGTTGTGCTTTAGTACACTCGGTATGACAATAATTTATTTTTCAAAGCTCTATTAAGGAGTACAATTCGAGTTTTATTCTAGCATATTAGTATTCAGGATGACATAAATTTTGAACAATTCAATGCAAAATAATATTGTGGAAATTCTTGAATTTCATTGTCCTGAGAAATAGAATTAAACACCCAAGAAATATTCATATCCAAGAAATATAATATTCAAGAATTATTCTACATTGGCCATACCTAGTTGCAGCTACATGCTTCACAGAGTATTTCTTACCACTACCATGTAATTAAACCTTGAAAATATTTGTTTACTGGGTGCGACATGATAGCATTGGGTAACGACTAGGGGTGGGCAAAATCGAATAGTTCGAATATTTTTTTTTTTTAAATACAACGGGGGTCTGTCGGAGGTCGATACTCCCTTCAAAAATTAGAAGAAACTTTGAAAAGTCGGCAACAAAGCGTTTTTTATTTACTGGTTAAATTCTTAAATTCAAATCGCTAATTGTTTTTGTCGCCGCGATCCTAAAGTTCGTAATCTGTATTCCCGCCCGATTCATTTTTTTGAAAATATTAATTCTTGCGGGTCGGCGGACATGGAATTTTTATAATTAGGTATACCCGTGCGTTGCCGTTGAAATTTTTTTAAAACTGTAACAGTCGCCAATAACGCGTGCGATAGCATTTTGCTATAATCGCCGATTGTTATTATCAGCGTGACGTGGTATTTAGGCCGTAAACAACTTTATGTTGGTTTTATTTTCTCCAAATCAAACAAAAATTTTCCACAACGTTGTGCGACGTTAACAATGATAATTATTTTATTTTTGTACACACACGGAATTGCCAATCTGGCGATAGTTTAATTAATATACGTTCACCGGCGACGATTTTCTGAGGACAACGCAAATTTTTTGATTGAAAAGCGGCAATATAATATACTGAAAATAAAACTTTAAACAATATGAGTTTTATTGAGGCCTGCGACAGTTTAAAAACGCCTTTTTGGGCATTGAAAATCGCAAAATTTCGTTTGCCTCTCTCACACATTATGTTTGGTCGGCGTTTAGAAAACATCGTCACCAAAATCGAAGCACTGTTAATTGTGGGCGGGATTGGCCATATTATCCATTACTTTAAATTGCCGTCGAACATTTTTTTTCAACATTATACAAGGTTTGAAACGGGACAATTTTCCCCGGGTTGTGATGATATATATAAGATAATAATCAAATGTATATTCAATCATTAATTTATTGTGCTAAAATAAATTTTAATCTGATATTACAGCAGATTTATGATTTTTTGATGTTACAAGTCCTGAAAATAGGAAATCAAAGCTTTATATGTTCGAGCAGTTTACCACACACTATGCTCGCAGATTGCCGTAGTATTTTAAAATTGTGAAGATTTTATTTTGTCAACTCAACCGCTGGTTAAATTGAAGACAATAATAAAGCAAGACATTTTAAATATGCCCTTATCGGTACAAATTGATTACTTTGCACAACAGAAAACTCATTATTCATTGTAAAAGTCGGCTCTTTTAACAAGTGGCCTAATCGCGGCGATGAATATGTATTTTTGATTAAACGATATACTTTATATGTATTTTCATTGTATGAAATGAAATTGTACTCTACGGGATTTTACCAACGGCGATAACGAGTTCGCAAGATTCCAAAAATACGTATTAAAATTAAATACACCCGGCAGTTTATCATACTTTTATGTCCACAGATCGCCGTGGCATTTCAGAGAAGTAATGTTTTAATTTTGACTTAAGAAGAAGCAACCGCGAGTTACGTTTGACATAATTAAATTAATATATAAAGACATTTTGGAATCCCGTAGTTGTCATGGATTGATCATTTTACGCAACAGAAAAATCATTATACGCTGAAAAAACGTCTCTTTAACGAGCGCGTAATCGCGGTGACTGTTGCAGACGGCAATCAGAATTTCCGATTTTTTAAATACATCGTCATACTTTTATAATTTACAGAACGTTCATAAATTTACGCAACGGTGGTGACCTATTTTACAAAATAGGGAAATGAAACGATACGTTAGGCGTGAAAAGAAAACAAATAACATCATAACGCAAAGAAAATTTGTCGCTTTTGTATGTTAGCGAGCGCCGTTTGTGAATTCTCGTGCAATACACGATTGATTTGGTGACGCGCGAATTCCGTGTTAAAGCAAAGCGGCGCAGGTCACGTGGTACCGGGTATTCGAATAGCAAAATGCCATTCGAATATTTTGATATTCGATTCGAATATTTTGCCCAGCCCTAGTAACGACTAACGAGGACTGAAAAGCACGATTTTACTAAAAAATCCAATTAAGATCACCCAGAAAATAGCAGATGTAGTTGGCACAATTTGAATGATAAAACAAAATGCTTGGGATGAAAAAAAAACTGTGGCAGTGATGACAAAAATATTTCAACCACCCAAGATCCTCAAATATCCTGTCATAACTTGGATCTGTGGGCTGCTGTTTAGTAACAGCACCAGCTGGGGTGCCTTTGATTATTTTTCATATGCGGATTTGGTCTACGTGGCGGAGCAAGATATTCAAACATTGATGTCTTATGCTGAGACAACATGCTTGTCAAGTCACAAGGGAGAGGTTCCGTCCAAAAAAAATCATGATTTAATGCATTATCAGAGTCTATCCTATTCTTCGGATCAAGCCAAAGCAGTTTATCAATCAAGTCCAATGCATATTGATCTTTCACATATGCTTTTAAACGCTCCTTCACTCTTCTTTTCGAGCCCTGTGAAAAATAGTACAAAATTGGAAGTAAAAACCACACTATTTACAATTTGAAAAGGATGGAGTAAACTTACCTTCGGCAACTCAAACTTTTTATACAAGTCATATTTTTCTACAGAAGGCCACACTTGAGGAGAAATTGATCCACAAAGCTGGCATATAAATTTAAGTTGTGTTTGCTCTGTGTCACCCTGTGACAAAGAAATTACAGTACATTGACCAGTCAGTTTTTATTGGTAATTGTGCTAAATTTTATTCAGAATAATGCATTCAGATTCATGAGAATGTGGCTTATTACATGAGAGTCTGTGACATATTATGATTTGGAATCAAAGTTGAAAATTTTTAATATGGATGACACATACTTGCATGATAGGACTCCTTGTCCACATCTCTGCCATGATGCAACCAGCTCCCCATAAATCAATAGACGGACCATAGTCCCTTTCACCAAGAAGAAGTTCAGGAGGTCGATACCATAATGTAACTACCCTATTCGTATACCGATTGACTTGCCCAACTTTCGTGAAGCTAAAAGCTCTGTATTTGTAAAAAAACAAGGTATGAGTGCACTTCAAATTTACTTATTTTGAAAGAAAATGAATTTCATGTCGCATATCTCGTTTCACAGCGGTATTTATTGACAACTTTGCTAACATCAAAATATCTCCGAACAATGCTGAAAAGATACTCCAATATAAAAACGAATAAAAAGAATTCAGTTCATATCTTTGTGGTCACCACCACACAATTATCTTAAATGTTAAACATCACCCTATTTAACAATGAACTTCTTTCCAGTGCTCCTATTTTTCTTGCCTGAGCCTCTACTGAAAATTGTATTTTAACGAAAATCGATACCTTGCAAGACCAAAATCGGCCAATTTTAAGACTCCAGTCTTTGTAATCAAAATATTTGCAGCTTTCATATCACGGTGTAATATTTTATTGCGGTGGATGTAGAACAATCCTTCCAGTAATTGCTGCATAATCTAAACAATTGAATACGCTGTGCTATAAGTTAGGAAGGAAAGAGCATTCAAGCAATTGACCATTAAATTTTCAAATTGTGAAAATGCCATTAATATCAACAGCATGCTCGTGAGTGCGCAAATGTGTGATGTCTTTATGATACCAACTTCCATTTTCTCACAGGTTGTGAACCCCTACTCTTAAACATGAACGCACTAGCGGTCTGGCGCAGAAGCATACATTAAGTGATTAGTCATGCAAAATGATTCTGAGCTCTGACCACTAGAGGGAATCGTCGAAATAATCTGAACCTAATGTAAAATTGTCACTGTTGCTAATTTTTGCTCTCTTGTTTCATATGTTAGCCTGAGATCAAATCGAGGTTGGCTAGTTTAGAATTTTATCCTATTTGATACCTGTTCATATCTCCTAGTGTCAATATTAATGATAGGAATAGTAAAATGAAATAAGTAATTAAAAATAAAATCGAGCATCTCAAATCAAGATGCTATCTTTATATTCAACTGAATTAAGCACTGTACGGGAAATAATTTCCCACATATACAGTCTCTGAGAACAATAATAAAACCTATTTCACTCCTAATTAACGATAACTTACATTTTACCTTTTTAATTTCCCCAAGTGTAAACTTCACAGTTGCATTGCTCAATAATCCTGCTAAGTCATGATCACACAACTCAAACACAAGATATATTGATCCTTTATACCTAAAAATTATTGAAATATGGTAATTATGGTTAAAATTATCACATGCAAATACCACAAAGTGTTTTAGATGTGATAAACATACAATATCTTATAATTTATATACTGTATTATCTCAATTTGCACTATTGGTATGTTACTAACAAGGTCGAGAAAAAATCAAAATACAAACTAACCTGTTATACTGAGTAGGCTTTGCACGACATATTTCAATTAAATCCACCACACTTTCATGTTTTAATTGCTGCAGAATTTTAATCTCCCTCAGTGCTGTTATCGGAAACTGAGATAAGATTTATAACTATTTAGGGTAAGATCAAATTTGTTGGTTTTTACAAAAATATATAATACACAGAAGTCTCACAAAAATGCGTTGCCATGCTATTGAAAATGACTGATAGTTGCTTGGCTGCTATCACAATATTCATTTCTCAGATGATAGTCCTCAGTTTTCAGAATTTAGTATTATAGTTAGGTTAGAAAATCAGCAATCTCTGACCGATGTCTATGAACTAGCCCAAGATGCAATACACTTTTAAAATAATACCAGCTGTTACAATCAGAAATGGGCTTCTATAAATTATATATAATGTTAACATTCTTCTTACTCCTTCTTTTTCATTCTCCATAATCACTTTTTTCAGTGCCACATACCGTCCAGTCTTTTTATCTTTTGCTTTGAATACTTCCCTGTATGTATAAAACTTTATCATTCATATCATAATTAGTTCATTTTTTGTTTCACAAATATTTCAGCTTAATATTTACACAGTACCAGACTCCACAACTCTGCTCCAGCTGATCACCAGACCAACTGTTACCATGAGAGAGTAGAAAGAATAATTAATACGCTTTGTTAACAGTGCATGAATACGTTATTAGGATAACGAACAATGGCTTTAAAAAATTAAACATACCCAAAAGTCCCTTGTCCAATTTTTGTGATTCTTTCATATTTGGCAACATCGTGGCATAATGGAAAGTCCAAACTGGCTTCTTTGCTCATGGCCAAATACTCAATTTGAAATCAATTATTAATTGAATGAGGAAGTAAAAATACTAGATAAATATTTTACAAAAAACATTGAAAACTGATGGTACTGATCAAAATTTGACTAATAGTAACAAAATCTGTTGCATCAGAAAATTTTTGTAAAAAAGCAATCAACCATCACACAGCAGCACAGTGACATAGCTATGAAATATGTTCAAAATTCTGTTCTACAGAATGTCTTTTATTAAATATCAACTTATAAATGCTCTTTATGTACGATTGTAAACAAAACATTTTGCATGTCTTTTGTAAACAAACTTAAGTGTATCTTCGTCGATGACAGATAAAATAATTGGTTTTACATGCAAGATGTTTATCAGAACGAGTCTGTATGTTGATGAACAAACAATTTGATGCATTTTAACAGCTTGTTTCATGGTAATTGTCATCAATTAGAATCTTCGGAAAAAATTCATAAACTTTTCGCCCAGTAAAATAAGTCCGAGTAATCTGTAAGCCATATCTTCTGATGAGCAAAATATTCTCTTCAATCAGGTATGCAAAATGTAAATATGCAGATACAGCAACAACAACAAATCAACCAGAGTATTGTATAAATTTACTTGGCATATACCAGAAATATATACCACAGACATCAATAACCATGGCAATAAACCAACAAAATAAGTAAGACATTGTATTTCCATTAGGAGTGTAATTCAAAATACAAAGAACAACTGACAGGTTCACCAGTTGAAGATGAAACTTTTGTATGGTACAACTTTGCCGTTTTCCCAGCAACTGTTAAGCAGTTACGCTCTGAGTAGGAAGTGCAAAAACATTTTAAATAAATTCTATATAAAACGAGTGATACAGGGAAAAAATGAAAGAATCAGAATAATTTTGACTACATACAGACATAGACCTTCTCCGGGATATTCTAACCCCAGAAATTTTCTCTGCATAGAAACACAAAGTCTCTTGACAGCATATATGGTTTACTAGGGTGACCATACGTCAGTATGTCCTCCTTTTTCGTTGAAAATTTTACGTCCTCCGAGAATGCTCTAAAAAGTCCTCATTTCTCACTAGATTAAAAATTTAAAATGCTCTTATGATATAATTAAAATTTTTTGATGTGTTACAAAAATTTTAAAGTTGAAACTCGTAAATATCAATACACATACGGCACACGTGATGTGTTGAGATAGCATGCGAGATACCTTTAAGTCAGTGTTTATACCCTGGGAACGATCGAACCACTGGGGTTCAGTGGAACTGTTTCATGGGTTCGCCAAAGTTCTTCTAGAACAGTAGTTAACTTATATATAATAAATTCCAGGTCTAGTATAGTACCACAAGTACTTCCGGTGTGTAACGAATTTTGTATATGTTATTCCTAACGCCAACCTGACTATGTCATCCATAAATTACGTCACAATCACATCATAGAGCTTGCCAAGTATTGCTACCATCGTTCGAAATGGCATCTGCGCCGACGATACCGAACTCACTAACGCCAGCGGTCTCTCTCATATCGGGATCGTTGCAACGAGAAAAATAGCTTGCTGGATCTCGAGTGATTGTCTGCGCGTTTCGGACAACCACCCGCACTTTTTAGCGGTATTTATTATGCCACTGTGGACTCGAAGTGACGTAATTATTTGAATTATTCAGGAATGACATATGCAAAAATTGTTGAGCCAGGCCAACTAGAAGTGCATGTGTTATACCAGACCCATAAAATCCTTATAGTACCCATCTTACTAACTAATAAAAATATCAATAGTTCATCAAAGATAGGATAGGACTTACATATTTATCCCAGGGGAGAGGAAAGGCGATGATACGGCTTATCCATATAGCAAACCACGGCCTCTCGTCCGGTTACGGTACCATTCCGAGTCGGGTATGGGATACCGTATATACCGTACTGGTACAATCGTAAATCATGTTTAAACAACTCGTAAAATAGCTTAGCCGGGTGTATATGTTTTACTGGACATGTTAATGACTGTTAGCCTACTACTAACTAGGCGCGGCGGTGTGGCTCAACGGGCTAAGCGTTAGGAATACGCTCGCCACCGCACCTCTAATTACTCTGCGTGGGTTCGCAGGTTCGAATCCCATGCAGGGATGGTTATGTGCGAGAGGATTGCTGGACTCCTCGCCGTCGTTGGGTGGTTCACGTAACCGCTGGTCGGTTACGGCTTCTTCCACCACCAAGTCCATGCTTCCGAAAACAAACAATACAGTAAAGCTAATCCCATACCGGTACCCGACTTGGAATGGTAACCGGACGAGAGGCCGTGGTTCGCCATATGGATAAGCCGTCTTATCGGCTTTCCTCTACCCCGGGATAAATATGTAAATCCTATCCTATTAAATGAATCTTTGTATACCAACTCTACGCCCCACTCTTTGGAAGTTGATCTATACAGCTATACTGTACCGGTACGGTATGCCTTCTACAATCCTCCTAGGCCGCGAGACGAGGCCGTTTACCTTTCAGATTCGTAGCGCACATAAGGGAACTACCGGTACTTGGGAATAATTTTAAAATGTTTCTAGGAAATTTAGTAACAAATAATAATTTGTTCCCATTTCCAAAAGTTGCACGTTTTACGAAAAAGGCGCTTTCACTAGGAGAAATATGTGATCCTCTCTGTCTGTCCTATGGATATTTCCCCGAGCATCGACTTCCTTGTTTACTTCGTGGCATTGGCCAATCAGCAAGATGCAAAAAGTGACGTACCAGTGCTCCCTTTTCGCATCCGCTCAGACCCAAAGTGACTATGATAGTCACTTTGCTCAGACACTTTTCTCACTCAGACAGATTTTCAAGCGTGGTCGCAAACATTACCGCGTTTTCGAACTGTATTCGTTAGTTTTCAGTTGTGTTTCGCAAACTTACGTATAAATCAGGTAATTCAATGATCACTCTGTCTTCCTAGGAGTTTTAATTTAATTGCAGTAATAAAAAATAGTGTAGAAATAGCTGTATTAGACTAGGCTAAAATTCTTCACCGGTACTTTTAAAAAACTGATTGTTGTATGCGATGAATCATAATGATGGTTTGAAATACATACCCCATTTTACAGCCACCAACTCGCAAAAGCACTCTTAAAATAGCCCCGAAAATTTTGCAATGGTATTCATATTCTCTACTTTTCCGGCAACAATGGCCAATGAACACAGACTTCTGCATGACGTAACAATTAAAATGTGATCAGCTGTTGGCGGGCGGATGAATCTCAGTTGGTACTGTTCGATCTTGCGTTGAGTTCGGTAGCCTTTCCATCGTATTTTTAGTTATTATTAGTAATAAGTTATGCTAAGAGTGTGTTAAAAAGTATAAGTAAGCTAAAACACTTGTGGATCGTTACCATGGATAGCAATTTTAGATGAGTACTAGCTCATATACCGTTGTTAAATAGGTACCGGTACGGTGTGATAACTTCAAGGAAGGCTAGACCTAATCTTTGTTAAGCACTAGCTCATAGAACGTTGTTAAATAGGTTCGGTGCGGTAGGAAGGCTAGACCAGAAATTTTTCAGTTTCCAATTTCTACAACAGCGTTTTTAATCTGTCGCAAGCCTTCTCAATCAATCTTGTTTCTGTCCAGTTTTTAGTATTTTATATTGCCGCTCTGAAATCTCGATTAAGGTTGCTTGCAGATGCACTCCTTCATCTTTAGCATTATTATATAATGACTCGTTTTTCTCAATGGTTTCACAGTTCCGTATGCAAGACATATATATGTTGAAGGAAATTTGTGATTCGAGTAGAATAATAAACGACGTTAAGGTGTTTACGCGAAAACAATCGGTCATTAAAAAAAAATTAGTCGAATGGTATTGCCGACTTGTTCATTTTCCTGAAAAAATTTTTTTTTTCACAGTTAAAGTATATTTTATATGTAAATAAAAAAGAAAGTGTCCACATCTAGAAACCTGCTCGCGGGCCGGATGTGGCCCGGGGGCTGCAACTTCCCCAGGCCTGTACAAAAAGGAACCTGTAATTGGGACGACCCCATGGCACCTGGCCACGTTATCCAATTTATCTCGGCCCTGGTGGACGCCTCCGAAATTTCGCGGTTAAAACTATGAATGGCACGCAAAGCTGGCCCCCATTAGATTCGTCGAACAGCGGTTCCCAACAGCTGACTTGCAGAGAAATTCTGCTGTCAGCCCGACGCGTTGCCTATATTCGGATAAATGTCACTGCAGGTAATTCGGGAGAAAGGCTGGGAATTTTTTTAATCTTCTAAGGAGGTACGTCACAAGACTGATGAAATCAACTATATTCAGGATCGCACGGCAAATTACAATCGTTTACGGGTGCAAACGAACAAGTATAAACATACCTGGTCGCAATGATAATGGAACCGAAAAAAGTGTAAGCTCTATCTGCCCTAGGAGGTAAAATAATTATTCAAGCTTCTGTTTAAGGTGATTATATTTTATTAGTGATCGGTTAACCAACCACAGAGGGGAAACTTCTAGGAACCCATTTTCAATTTGTCTGTATGCTTCTATGTTGCCGATGGGTTTGTTATAATATCCTGAATACACATATCCGTTTACGTTTAGCTTAGGTTGCTGACAGATTGGGACGATATCGCTTCATGTGTTTGCGGAATCTAGGTAATATCACAAGCTGGTCGTTAATTTAGTAAAAATGGGTAGAAGAACACATACATGAAAATGAAATTTTTGAAAAAGCAAACTTAAACGAATAATGTTGATTAGTTTATGAGAAAGAATTAGAACGAAAATTGTGCTGTAAAATGTGCACTTTTAGTCATCATTATAAAGCAAGACAAAATGATCTTTTGGCAAGGCATCTCCTACAGATCATCGTGAATCTTACATCAAGTTGTGACAGATCATGATCCATTATTCACCACTTTCCTCTTTTACTCCAATCTTTAGGTGTCCACTGTAGACATTTGGGATCAATTCTCATTTTACGTTTTGTCATTGCCCTCTTATGGCCATCGATAACTTCATCTGACAAAGTTATGATATATTGTCCTTTGTAATAATTGATCAAATTTAAATGTTGAAGTGTTGATATAACATCTTCTTTCTTGATACTTGTTTTCTCGCAAATCTCACTGAAACGACAGAGAATTCCAGCAATGCCAATAATGAACAGTAGGAAGAAGATAATAAATCTTGAAAAACTCAGAAAAAAAATAAGGTTGTGAAAATTTATCGAGAAATATGCTACAACCACAAGAAAACATATGACAGATAGTTATAATTATTATCCTGAATCCTAGTCAGTATTCATAAACATCTTCAAAATGTTGATCAATAGTACTAGTTAGTTCCACTTCAAGCTTAAAAATGGGATGACAGACAAATCATAGGTCAATACTACAACTATTTTCATAGTCCCTAATCCTGTTGTTTAGAATATTTTTTCTGTGAAATCAAATTTTATAATATAAGCAAGCATACTTGATTGTTATCTGTGGTCTATCTTGTCCATTTTCAGGCTTCATGTTAACAACAATATCAAGTATAGCATTGGTCCAATAAGAACGATATGATAACAATCCCAAATCTGACAAAGGTTTTTCAGGTGTTCCTGTTTTCCCTTCAATTTTCGAAAGTGCATAACCTATAAATGATGGCATAATTTAGTAATAGCATACAATTTATATATAACAGAAAGGAAAGACAACAAAAAAAGCTCTAATCACATAGCAGTCCACCCTTTAGCCATGATCAAATATTCGTAACTACGCCATAAAACCTACGATTTATAATTACTCGTAGTCATATATATTCAGCAAATGGACCATAACCTAGGTCAGGGTTACTCAATTGGCGGACCGCGGTCCGAATCCGGACCTTTCAAGTATTTGATTCGGACCGCACCTCAATCTGTATTTTGGATCATTAGCCCCATTTTTAAAGTTTCATTTTATAAAATTACTTTTATTGTTTTGAATATATATGAAAAGAAATATAACACCATAATAAACAATCTTGATTAGCTGATAATCATTAGCCGGCCGAGGAAGTGGGCGTTAAAGGATGCGGAAATATAATTTCTGGAAACACCGGACCCAAGAAATTTTATAGTTCTGTATGCGGATCTTCGGTAAAAATAGTTGAGTAGCCCTGACCTAGGCCATGACAAGCATTAGAGAATCCTAAACTCACTAAATTCAATCAGAAGCTTTCCAAATCCCTTTCGCTGGTGTGGTGGTAATGTTAAAATGCAAGCCACATTGTAATCTTCTGTCGACTCTTTTTCCTAAATTTATTTTAGTTAGATTAAGATGATTAGATTAGATTAAGGATGAAGACAAGGACAACAAATTATTCCACTTTTCTGATGTGGAATTCGGCAGAGACAAAGATATTCCTGAGACTTCGTTCATAAACAAATTGCCCACAGAACATTATTACTAATCGATCTTGATCGGTAAGTATGTTGTTAGGTTTTTGTCTGTTAGATACAGACGATATCTCACGAAAACGGGGTTGAATCTGCATCAAATTTTGCATGTACATTTATCATATCTCGGAACAGAAGCCTATTGATTTTGGATGAATTGTGTTGTAAAATTAGCGAGTTATTAATTAATTAGTGATGGGACACACGGTGTCGCTATGGAGTAATAACTTTGGATCGATAAGTCTTCGGTGTCCGACCGATATTCTCGTTCTTATCTTATCCAATATTATTTGAATACGCACAATCACATAAAAAAATTTTTACCTTAGAGAAATATCCTACCAAGTGACATCCTTTACTGTCATATTCCGTCATAACGTAAAATAGAAACGGATCTGTATCATAATACAGTGTTTTGTGATCAAGAAAACATTTCGCAAGAAGACACAAATTTTGAGCGTAGGACTAAATAAAAATAGATTATAGATAAAAATACTATACATAGAAACAACTATTTAACAAAAAAATGCACAACACGCCGCTTGATTTTGTCACAGATTTGATATAACATGGAATATGAAATTTGGTATCAATAGTAGAATAGTCAATCAATAGTATTACCTCGCCAACTCCACACTTGGCAATAAATTTCAAGAAGTTATTACAACTTTATCTAGATATTGACATTTTTGCCAATTTCATGAAATAACAGGTTTTCAAACTGGAATATATAGAATATTTCTGAAGAAAAAATTCAATATATCGAATGCAAATGCGGTACTCAACTTCAGCTATCCATGATTTAAATTATGTTGTTAAATTTACAAATCAAGAGTATTCATACTGATGGGTTTATACTTTATGTATATAAATTTAAGTATATACCAACTTTGTTTTTTCGCCCATCAATCTCAAAAAATGATATATTGCTTTTTCTGTAAATTTCATTTCCTGGTGGATATTTCAACTGACATTTTGTCTAAAAAAAAAGGGTAGATAGCTTGATAACAAAATAATTGAAAATTGAAACGCATTAAAATGGTGAGCTAATTCAATACAAGATTAGATGGTCATTTAACCAACATTTTATAGTAATAGTTAAATAGAAAAAAAATTTGCCTATATAGCAAGGGGACTTGCTCACTAAGGTTTCTTCTAACAAAAAAGGCGAAAGCTGTAGGATGGAGCTAACGTTCCCAAAAAGCCAATTTCTGCAGAGTGCCAAATGCAGTGCATGTTCAAATGCAGTATGCAGAGTTAACATTCAGACTGGTGTCAATGATATTGGACAAATTACTACAATACGCACTACTATAAACATCTTGCTATCATTAGGACATAAATTAAAATGTCTTACCAAATGTCTCTGAAGACACGTCAAACTTTTAACATATTTCAAACACCATTCACAGAGGAATACAACAGGATATGTAGTTAATTCAACAGGATAAGGTGAAAAATACCAAGGTTTCAATCTGTATTTACCAACCTCTGAAAAAACAATGTAAGCAAGATTTAGATCAAAGTTGATGAAGTAAATTCAGTACAAATCTTGATTTAGTTACCGGTACTAAAATAATAAAACAGTAAATTGAAGAATTTTAATGTTATCCACAAGGTGGTAGACACTGTTTAATCAGCTTGATCAATGACAAGCTTTCCACTGATAACAAACAGCAAACATTTTTAATGAAATACCACATTCAAAATATTCATAAAATATATGCTACATAATTAAAATTTAAATACACCAAATAAAATACATCTGACATCAAATAATGAACAAGTATGATGCTAATTAATCAATTGAAGCGTGCCATGAATTTTGCTTTGGGGTATAAGATGATGATTACTATTGTTGTTTAAAGTGTTATCTTCTTTTACCCAATTCAGCTGATATGTATAAAACCTCACCTATGGAATGGATATTTTTGATTCGACTTATTTTATCTTCTTTTACATGAACTGTCATACTCCCGGTCTGTCTTGGAGCATTGTCTGATGAATCTTGCGATTCCTTTAAAAGATGAAGATATTGAAACAGGGAGTATATGTCTTGTGGTTAGCATGTTGTACTCTTGTAGAAATCAGTGTCATTGTGTGGGATATGCTCAACAAGAATGGTCTCAGTTCCTCAAACTCCCATAGTAGCTTTGTGTCAGTGAATAATCACATAGTCTTGTTCAGAATGAAGATGGAACAAATACGTCATTTAGTAAATTGATAAATCACAAAAGCACATGCAATTACTGGTGGGCAAAAGTCAAAATTTAAGTCAAATCTCACGTGACTAATTTATACAAGATTAAACTGCATGCTTATTGTAGTTCGAAAATTCAATTTCGTTGGTTCATTTTTGATTCAAATCAGACAATGGCCGTTCATCCATGAGCACTGGTTTGGAAATAAATTTGCTCAGCCACAAAAAAAATCGCTCACACAGAAGATTCAGCGCTCCCGTAGTATGTGCAACAAGATGGCAGACACCTGAACATAGTATGTGTACAAGGTTAGGGTTAGGCCATAATTTTATTCCAATTTTCCTTATTTTAGTTATATTACAAGTTCGGGGACTAGCCAAGTGACTCCTGTAGTATCTGTACCTGAAATTATGGCCTAACCCTGATACACATACTACGTTCCGGTGTCTGCCATCTTGTTGCCCATACTACAGGAGTACCAAAGATTCTTACCTCTTCTGGTCCCATTTCAGGTCCTTTTCTCTTTCTTCCTATCTTTGGCATCTTTTTAATTGCTGCCGTAACTTTTGAAGGATGCGCAGTTCCATTTTGCTGAAAAAGAAATCACAAACTTGAACTGAGAGAAAAATTGAAAAGCAGCAAACAGCATTCCCATCCTCACGTTTCACATTCACACAAAAGTTCAGAAACAGTAGTCGAGCATAGAATGCCCACAAAAGCAACATTCGATTGTCTATTTGTATTCCATTAAAAAGTACTTACAACAACAATTTCCCTATCAGGACTATTATGGACAGAGTCACTGCTTCTTTTGGTTCCTATTTTTGTATCTTTCTTTGGAAATTGAATCTTTGACATGTCAAGTCGTTCTGCAGCAACCCACTCATCCAATCTTTTATTAACTATCAAAAATGAAAAGATATTATGAAATTTCCATTCACTCTTACATAGTAAAAATGCAACTATATAGGTCAGCTGTTATTTTCCAGATAATTGAGGAAAAAATCTATTGATGAACATAGATGGAACTTAATATTTCTAGATATGTACATAGTATTAGAATAATGCATCAGCCAGTCATGCAATGTTGATATTTACACAAAACTTACAGTCAATATAGTGAACATAATATTCAAATTTGTTGTTAACATCTCGAATACTGAGAACTTCTGCCAGATCTGAAATACAAATAGAGACATTTAAAAAGGGTTGCAACTTACTCATACACACTTTATGAAAGAAAGAGAAAACATTATGAAAAAATAACATAGTGCCCTATATACACTGTAAAAGTTTAAATGCGGGAGGTTTATCAAGCTTTGGAATGAAATTACAAATCAAGACTCAGAATATTTTGAAAAATAGTTCTTCGCCAAAATCTGCTGGACTAAAAAGTGATTAAATCAAAATAGATAACATAATATTTTATCACCAATATTAAAACTTGTATTTTGTACCAATGTTTTTAGGTATAGAATTGATATACAAACTTTTCGCGCCACACATGTTTTGCCTCATGGACTTTTTCAACCAGATTTGAGAGTTGTCCAAAAATAATAATATAATATATAAATACATGTAGATGCAGTGAATAAATTTATAAATGTTTGTGTAAGTCATTACTCAAATCGTCATAATGCCATCTGATTGGGAAGGTCCGAGGAGTGAAAGTCTGAGGCAAAAAGTTTGTAGGCTATTCAACTTCAAGTGTAATCAGCATAATATTACAGTGTTACTGAATTTAAATAACATCCAATTAAAAAAATATCTTACGCCACTCAAATTGACCCTCCAGGTCTCTCTGAACAGGCATTCGACAGCCTTCGATAACACCAGCCTTTAAAAAAATTGTATTGATTAATATTTAGATACGAGAAGCTTATTGAAAACTTTGATCACAAAACTCAATTCATTTTTAAGTAACTTTAGTCAATCCAGACCATCAGATGATTGGAATACAGCATGGTTTCTCAAACCTTTTGAGCGGCGGACCCCTATTTGTTTAGCTTAGTTTTGATGAATCCTATACTGTATACTGTATCAATTTCTGTGCCTAACCAACGAAGAAGGATAATGTTTCATTTACAGCACAAACGGCATTAATGTCTGTAATTTGCTGATGTGATGGATGAAGTTGCGTTTCACTGCACAATTCAGCAATTTATCGATTCTCGGAGCAATTTGTGACGAGCAAGCTCGTAGATCCGACTCTAGGGCAAGTCTCGACCTGTATTTTGTCATCATATTGGTAAGAGCTGAAAATACTGCCACACATGTCTGCATGTAGGTCTTTGCAAAAGGCAATATGACCTTTAATTGCCTTTTCTAACAGCAATATGCGTACGCAGCGTTCAACCAAGTGCAATGGCTTTTTCTTTGACATCAATCCTTAACGATCAGACTCTTGTCATGTCATTGTGAACCCCCTGTGCAGTCATCACGGACTCCCAGGGGTCCGCGAACCCCAGTTTGGGAAACCCTGGAATACAGGACTATCTGACCATGAATATACTTATAAGAGTAAACAGGGTCCGTTCATAAGAAAGGATAGAAATATGCAATGTGCTGAAGTTTTCTCGAACACGTTTGAGACTGAATAGAATTTACTAATTATGGTACCAGTAACGTTACAGCAGTACAGGTAATATCGTAAACTGTACAGGTATGATTCAAATGTTGAACTTCAACATTTGGATTATAAAGCTAACTCCTAAATATACCAGTACCGTAAATAAATACAACCATACCTTCATTCCTTGTGACATATTCCGTACGACGCCGTTCCAATATCGCACTAGGCTACTTGTTTTTAACCGGTGCGACCAGCGATGCAGTTATTATGAAACTGCTTCGGGAAAACACCACTTTATATATCGCTGTCACGTGAATACCTCGACATGGATAATTCGGCATTATCGGGTAAGATTTACAAAACAAAAGAGAGAGAGAGAGAGGAAATTTTTTGATTCGTCAACCAAAACAAATATAAATGGAAAATATAAGAATTGTACAAATCCTACCGGTGCTGTAAGCGCGAACTCAACTAACCCACCGTATTACATTTCCGGAACGTCTTTTGGAAAACAACACTTTATAACGTTTGTACTTAGGTCCTCCATATGAATAACTCGTCTAAAACAGGATCATGAGTTATTCGTCTTTCAATACCACATTCACAGCGAAAATAATTATCCTAAACGACTCTGATAGGATGTGGTTCAACCTTTACGATTACGAGCCTGTCGAACGCCTACGATATTCTGCGAGCCTCCCGAACCCCTGCGATATTCTGCGAGCCCCCGTCGAACCCCAACTTTGGAATCCGAAAGATAATAAGTCAAAAACGTTAGCAGCTCAAGTCATTCGTTTTCAAACTGCATTGAAATATTGGATAATAGCTTTTGTCAAATGGTTCACAGAAATAGAAATATTATATATACGTATACCGTGTTTTCCCGAAAATAAGACAGGGTCTTGTTTCAATTTTCTTTCGAAAAATAACACTAGGGCCTATTTCGGGGGGTGTCTTCCATTTTCATATATTCGAGTTTTCGCGAATTGCCTCCCAGATTGGTTACGTCCGATCTGAAATATTCTGGCCTCACCATAAATAGTTGCTCTATAAATACATTTGATTCTTTTTTTTTTCCCGAAATAGATACTTATCTGAAGATTTGTTCCAAGAAAAGAAATATAAATATTTATTATAAAGTATGTTGCAACATGTACATTATAGCGAAATTTCAAATCCAAAAATGAACCAATATATATATACCGGGAGGAGTGCACCATCATGGTTTGATTAATTAATTGGAAAAAATAAACTTGACTTGACCTAAACACTTTAGATGAAATTTTACTTTGAGAAAAATAAACAGAGACAACACTTGAATTTATTTCATTTGAATTGATTTATTTTTACAAAATTAGTACAGTATATATATATGAGCAGTGGCGGCGCGTCAATAGGGCCAACCGGGGCAATGCCCCGGTTGTTTTTTCGGTATAATAAAAAATATTCGAAAAATACCTCAATATCGGTTGCACAGACTGTCTACACCGGTCTACACTAGCCATATTCTCCCGACATGGTTCATTTTTCGCTCGCAAAGCCTTCGCCGAACGTCGACGGGGCGACGCCGATTTTGCCCCGGTTGCTCATTGTATATCGTATTCTCTCTTTTATCTTCCACTCGCCGCGTTTGTCTCGTTTGTTTTTCTGTTTCTTTTACTAAATCATCGGGGCCGATCGGGGCTAGCCCCGAAATTATGACGACACAATGCCGACGTTTCTTACTACAACGTGTTGACATATTCACGCATTCCTTCTCGTTCGTTGGTTGCTTGAAGAGTTGATAGTTTCCTCGCCTTCGTTTTTGTCGCTTGTTTCGCTATTTGAATCAGTTAGAGACCTTTAGTCCATTTGCTTTCGATTTTCCACATTCCTTTTGAGCTCCTCACTTCTTTCCGGCTTCGCATTTCTTAGCCTTAGACCTCATAATGAATAAGGTTGATGCACTACTTCGCACTCCGTTTTCGCAGCTGCCGCTGGAACAAAAATTAGAGGTACAACGTCAACGTATTGGGCCTTATCAACCAAAAAATTGTTCACTGGAACAATCCCATGACGGAGGAAAGCGTCGGCGTACATTCTGCGCAGAAACTTGGTATGAAAAACACGAATGGTTGTGTTACAGCGAGGACAAAAATGCACTTTTTTGTTTTTATTGCCTACTTTTTGCTACCGCCCGTGACTCACGTTGGTGTAAATTTGGTTTTAGAGATCTTAAACATCTTTCCGAGCGTGCCAGGGATCATCAATCTTCTATGGAGCATCTGGACAATGCAGTAAAATACCGAACATTCGGAAATGTTAATATTGCAGCACAGTTGGATGAAGGACGCGCGGTTTCTATTCGTCGGCACAACCAAAACGTCGAGAAAAACCGCCATGTTCTCGGTCGATTGATAGATGTTTTGAAGTTCATTGGTTGTCACGAGCTGTCCCTCCGTGGGCACGGTGAACGGGCTGGCTCTTCTAATAGAGGGGTATTTTTGGATATGGTGGAATACACCGCATCCCTAGATACAGTATTGAGAGATCATCTTGATGCCGCAACTGTTTCGAAAGGGACATCTAAGGATATCCAAAATGTTTGCTCGACTCAATGTATAAAATTCATTTACAACATTTGGCTCTGGAAATTGAGAATTGCCAGTTCCTTCCGATTCAGTCTGACGAGACAACTGACATCACGTGCGTTTCCCAACTGGCTGTGATTTTTCGGTTTGTGAAAGATGGTAAACCTACCGAGAGATTTCACAGCTTTGTACCAATCGTTGATCGCACGGCTTGCGGGATATCGGCTGTACTGAAAGAAGTGTTACAGCCTTACAACGCGAAGTCAAAATTGATAGCTCAAACTTATGACGGCGCGGCAGTCATGAGTGGGTCGAAACATGGTGTTCAAGTTTATATAAAAGAAGATTTTCCTCATGCGCATTTTTTACATTGTTATGCACACCAATTTAACCTCGTTATTAAAAATATGTGTCTTGATACCCCTCTCGTCCGTATATTTTTTGCAAATGTTTCGGGGTTTTCTTCATTTTTTTCCGTTTCGCCGAAGCGCTCTGACCTCCTTCGCCAGATATGTAGCCGCCGTCTCCCAGCTTGTGCACCAACACGTTGGAACTTCCAATCACGCGTGGTGCAGGGCGTGTCCGAAATTAGGTCTGAGCTCATTGAGTGTTTCAATGGCATTCAGAGCTCTCCGGTTTGGGACGAACGCTCTGTGAGGGAGGCGGCAGGGCTAAAGCGTTTGCTAGAAGATGGTGAGTTTTCATTTTTTTCTCCACAATATTCTATCACGTGGATGTATTATACGGCGCATTGCAGTCAAGGCTAATGGATGGAGCGTCTGTGCAGTCGTGTATTTCAGACTTCTGCGATGCTGTATCTCGTATCCGGGAAACAATAAAATACGACGACACATGGAGTGCTTCTTTACGCCGCGGGCAAACAACGCAGCGTTTGATTTTGTCTGCAAAGGAATGCTGTGACATTCTGGTGAATCAAATAGGCGATCGTCTGCGCACTGGACACCTTGCCGCGTTCTCTTTGATGAACCCCAAAAATTTTTCAAAATTTGCACGTCAATTTTCCATCCATTTGTTGGCTACTGTTTCCAAATGTTACCCCATGATAAACGTGGGTAAATTGGAAAATGAATTGCGATGTATATACATCAATCAAACTTTTTTGAACATCACATCAACTTGCGCGCTCTATAGGTTCCTCATAGATAACACTCTAGTAACTACCTTTGCGGCGTCTGCAAAATTTCTGGACATCATTTTGACGACGCCTATTTCTTCCGCCGACGCAGAGCGAACATTCAGCACGCTGAAGCATATTAAAACGTATCTCAGAAACACAATGAAGCAAGATAGATTAAATTCCTTGGCTGTTTTATCCATTCACAGAGACGTTATTTCTGGGATGCATGACTTTAATCAGCGCGTTATTGAGCATTTTGCTTCCAAGAAACCGCGGCGTGTTGCATATATGTTCAAGCAGTAGAAGCCTAGCAGCATATATATCTATGAGTGAGCGACGCATGTCCTTATCTTTGCATTAACTTTCCTTTCTTCATAGTAACGTTTTAAACCTTATTTTAGGTTTTGTCTGCTTTCCCGAAGTTTCTGTTAATATGTCATTGTATTTATCTGGGTAAATATTGCCTTTCCTTTTGAATAAGGTTTCAAAATAAACTATGTCTATATTTATTAATCCCTTGACTTGGACCGGTTTTGCTCATCCTGTCCCCGTAGATGGGGGTGACTTGGTCCCGCAGTAGCTTGCCCCGGTTGTCAAAATGACCACGCGCCGCCACTGTATATGAGGTATTCTACTAGAAGGCTCTCTAATAAATTCAAACCATCAATTCAGGACGATATTGTTTTAATCGAAGAAATGGATATGTTTTTCGGCAACATTATGTATTTTTGTCAGCTCACACAAGAAGTTTACGGCGTAAAAAATGATGCATGGAATGCGTTTAAAATAAGTATACGCCCAAATAGGAATTGGATATTTCATACTACGAGTGTCAGACAAACCGAAACTTGCAAATCTTCTTCATCCATATCATTTAGAAGCAAAAAATATGTAAATATATATATACCATATGCAAATTGTAAAGGTTCAGGCTAAAGTTGCATCATTGATAAATCAATAGATTCGGTTAGCCTACCTTAATCCCTGATTTAGATGTTCATATTAACTAGGATGTGCGCAGTAAAAACAAGTTAGTACTCATGTACGTGAAAAACAATTCATTAGAAAACAATTTACTAGTCTCATGTTTCCAACTTGACGGTTCTTGGACTTCTTGACGACGGTTTCAACAAAAAATGGTCATGCATCCCAGCTCAACGTTTTCACCGATTCATTCACAAGCTGCACTCGTGAAATTTTCGATGCAAACATTCGTAAACACGATTTTGGGTTTTCAGGCGTGAGTCAGTTGTTTTTATTTTGTGTTCTAGCAGATCAAAATGAACAACACTGCTTTAATTAACTCCAGTCGGACGTGTTTCATTCTATCTTCGATCCAGTCATGAATCCTTGCCCATTAGCACATGCTAAATTTTACATCTCGAATAAATTAACCGAACCCCAACGCTAAGATTTCAGGTATTAAGACCAATGCTCAAATATATGGACACGTCCATCGGAGCGGAGCAGTTCTTACTTTGACGCTGCTGGTACCTACGGCGCTGCTCGCCATAGCAGAGCAAGAATTTCTTTACACACCACCGATGTTCGATGAGCATGTCATCAAAAAAACAAAAAGAAAAGTGCCAGCATAAAAACAAATCCCAGTGCTATCAGGAATATTTGAAATAAATAAAAGTAATAGCATTCTAGAAAAAAATTCATCTTCAACCACTGGAAATTTTGAATAAATGGGTCCAGTAATCAAAGAGAAAAGCGACTTTTTACGTTTTCCACTAGGTGTCCAAAAAAATTTGTAAAACGATCGTTATGTCCACTGACGTGTCCAATAAATTCACTCCAGTTCAGGTCTTAATGCCTGATATTCCACGCCCAGTTGATCATGCGCAAGAAACTTTGCCATACGATTTGCCGATACTGTACGAGGTGTCTAAAAAACGTCGTGTTCCACTTGTCCGGGTGTTTCAAAAATGTGGGACACGAGAGACAAGTGGGACAAGACATTTTCGAGACACCCATACTATGCGTACTTCCTAGTGTCGTGACGTACTTCCTAGTGTCAATTTGCGCGTCAGGCGATGGACGATTAGAGACCAATGGGCGCAAAATCGCCACAATATCTTGGAACGATTTTTGGAAACTATTATGAAGTTCAATTAATTAGATACAGACTCACTCCGCAAGTCATGGAATAGTCATAGCGTTTCTACTTTCTATATTCCAGCAATTGGGTTGGTGGTTGTACAACTAATGCTCCGCGATAGTACACATAGACTGTAGGTTGGTTAGTTCATGGTTCGCGAAGGTTGGGTAATTCATCTTAGACACAATTGGATTGCGACCAGTTAGGTAGACTGTAAAATTCTTGAACTTGCAGCATGATAGGGAGAAATATTTACTCACCTTCCACAATAATGAAAAAAAAGTGGAGATATTTGAAGATCAAGATCATTTGTCACCACCAACGTTAATTAGGAGATATTGAACTTCTATGTTCTATACATGGAGTGAAAAGCATGACATTCATATTTTTTGCAATTAAAATCACAGACAGGTTTGAACAATAAATAAATAAAATTCGTAATCTTATGCTTTTTTATTCAATGTCTCCAACATAATGAATGCTATCAAAAATATGAAATAACAAAAATGATTAAGACGGAAGGAAATGTATAAATAATGAAGGCAATAATTGACAATCAATGACATTAGAAATGTACATATGGAATATATATAAACAAACACAAAAGTTCTGGCCAGACATTTCCTTGTAATATCCACAGCCAACTATTGACAGCACTGTACTACTTTACGGCAAGCACCTAAATAATCAGACTTAAAGAGCCATGCCAGTAAAATTGTACATTCAAAAATGACAATAATATACATTGCAAGCAGATCAGATCTGCAGCAGTAAGAGAAGAACAAACAAACAAAACCAACTCTTTTGGCCATACATTATTATTACAATCCTTATTACAAATGAATGAATTTATACAATCAATAAACGTCATGCAATTTCTAGTATTGTGAATCAAGAACAGAGAAATCCTACACACCGAAAATTATTAAGGACAAAATTGCATAGATTTCAAGAAAGTATTTTGCGTTGTTATAAACTTTCACATTTCAATTACATATATAGAAACTATCAATGAGATTGTACCCACAAAACTGCTGTGCAAACACTGAGTTTTTCACAACATTTTCATCTATTCTTCACATTTTTGTTGTCAAAAGGTACAGACATCAGTGCACTTGCTTCCTCCAGAGACTCTGGGTTGATTCCAGATTTCTTCAAAATTTCATTTGCATGAGTCTGGATAAAATAAACATCATGATGTAGATCACCAGAAATCCAGAAAACATTTAACATTGAAAACAACATTATACAATTTCTGCCACTAATAATAATTGAAGTTCTTTGCACGATTTCAATTGCCTTATTGCAAAGGTTTACAAAAGCAACACTCGTATAAAAAAATGGCATTTCGAGGAGCACTATATCCTACTAAAAGGCATACCCTGCCCAATTATTTAACATGGCTGAGGGTATGAATGTCAACACAAGGAATGGTGTTTACTGTTTAGCATGGTTCACCGCATCTCAGCTGCTGAAATATCAAATTTCCTCGAGGGGTAGAGTGTCCAATCATTCTTAACAGGTGTTAAAAACAACTTTCATACGCTCTAAAGTTTCAAACAACAGAATTTTGTTTCCTCTAGAGTTCGAGTCAAAATTTATATCAATCTAGAGTGGGAGTCTTGGAATAATGGAACCTAAACTTTATCTATCAGGAATCAGGATTTAATTGTAAATTTTGTATGACTCCAAAACCCTGTAATAAGTGCTAACTACATCAGCAGTGATGATCACTGATCGCCTACTTGTTGGCTAATACCGTGTTGTAATATATTAGTACTTTATGAAAGAGGAATTCATGAAAATCCGGCAGTAGGTTCTAGTTTATGGAAAATAAGTATTCTGGGCTGCTGTCACACCTTGAAATGCCTTGATAGATGACCTCTTCTTCTGAATGATTTATTACAAATATTACAGCTATATGGTCGTTCACCAGTATGTACTCTTGCATGACGTATCAACTGGGTTTTCCTTCTATACCTGCATCAAAAGTTCAACAGTTAATATGAGACAACATCTGGAAACACAAATAATCACAGGTTAAACGATGCACATTTTGCCCAAGAAGGATAGATATCTACTTCTCGAATAGCACAGACAAAGGTGTGTAAATGAAATATTTGTTGTAAAATGAAGATGCTAGAAAGCCCTTTTATGAATTCAATTTGAACTAATTTAAAGCATGGTAATAATATTGGGATTAAAAAAACAGATATTGAAACTTTTAATAATTTTCATTTCCTAATTACTTCTAGAAAAATTTACTTAACACTCAAACTTCTGTTTGGTATCATTATACACAAGAGTTTCAGTAATCCAGGACATTTTGTACAAAAATCAAGTTCTTTCTAGAACATGTTCCAAATGACCTGAGTGCTGTTTATCTTAGGTCACCCTTGCATCAGTTACATTTTATATAGAACACCAGAAAATTAATAAAAACTTGTAGTTCAAAAGTAAGACGATCAAACAATTCCAGGGAATAAATGTTCCATATACTCATATTATAATACATTAATTAAATTTTTTTCAAATTTATCAAAATCTGATCTTTAAAATAAAGTTATAGAGATAGAAGAGTTAGTTATAAGCTCATACTTTTTCCCGCATTCATCACATTCAAATGGTCGTTCCCCAGAGTGAACTCTCTCATGTCTTTGCAAATGCTCTCGACGTTTATATGCCTGTAAATCAGCCAGAGAAAATAAAATTTAGCTTTATGAACTAATTTATCAACGTGCCTTCAATTCTAAATCTGAATTATTTCAAAAACTTTATTCACACTGTCGCTTCGAAAATTTTGATTAAGTACAAAAAAATCGCTTGAGAACAAATTTTTCATTACTTACGGTAGGTCTTAGAAGATGTTTATTTATTTGATATTTCAATATAGAGTCATAAATAAATTAGGTAAAAAGAACTTCGATATGTTTCATTCATGCAACTAATAGTGGGCATACAAATGCATACTCAATGAGGCAAAAACAGGTTAAAATAGGATATTACAAAAGTTATTTCTGCTAATTTTGAAACTGACTTGTTGGCAATGTTCACATATGAATGGCCGTTCTCCACTGTGTGTTCTTCTGTGTTGTTGAAGTTGAAATGACCATGAAAACTTTCTTGGGCAATCTGGACATTGGTGCTGCTTTTCATTCGGATCTATCAACTGAAAATTTATCAATTATTAAATTAAAAAAAACTGCTGAAAACTGCTATGACTGGAATTACAAAAAATACTTTATTGCAGGTAGCATTCACGATGAATTGGAAGTTTAAAACGTGTGTGCACAACAAAATTACACTAAATGTAACAAAGAGTCTGAATGATAGACAATTTCAGAAAGTAATGTCTTTACATTTCGTTAAACCTTCTGAGTGAAATCAGGGGTGTAGCAAGGAGAGACCGAAAAAGTCATTGATATCCTGTGTGACTAATTATGTTAATAAAACTGCTGTTTATTTTCACCAGCAAAGAAAATTATAACAGAGAAATTTACAGTTGTATTTGGGGGATTCGCGAATCCAACATTACACTTGACGGTTTTGATGACTACAAGTGCACAGAAGCTTCAAAATGCAAAGGATGTAATCATTTCTGATGATAACAGACGCAGCGCCTAAACATTGCCAGGTACGAATCTCCCTGGCTTTACCTTCTTTAAAAATGAATGTGATTGATGCTTACGGCTGGTATCATAGTTGGTAATTCTGAAGACACCTTCAATGGAGGTTTCTTTGGACGTTTCTTCCTCTTTTTTACAATTGAAGTGCTTTGGTTTCTGACAAATACAGATACATGAGCTAATGAGCTTCAAACATTTTGACAAATTGCACCAACGAGACTTTTCTATGTGGTACAGTGATAACAGGAAAGAGATGTTCGTTTTCATAGAGATTGCAGTATTGCACTACTCTTTTGAGCTAGCATTTGAATGCATTCTATATCTGCCATATAGCAAGGTTAGATTCTGGCAAATCATTTTGTTTCTGCTATTTTAAATACTTTTGTAATGTGGGCATGTGGCCCAGTTAGGGCTGTCCAAAATCGAATATTTTCGCCGAATCGAACCGAATATTATTGCGCAATCCTAAATCTGTCTCTATTATACAATAAACGTGCCCTTCGCCCTTTGATGTTGTGGTGGCGTATGTGCAGTTACATCTTACTTACTGCTGGTATTTTGCAATACAGTTTTCAGATTTATGAAAGGAGATCACACGCTTGTATGAACTGGTCAAAAAAATTGGAGGACTCCAAAATTTGGGTCTCGAAAACTGTTGAGTGTTAAAAGTAAAAATTGCAATCTCAATTCTGATGGATTCAGTTTTTATAGGACATGTAAAGCCTGTAGATGCTATTTTAATCCTGTTCACTAGGGTTATGTTTTTTTGTGTAATTTTCAGCAAAATAATAACAACCATTAATATAGATAAAACTGTTGCTCGAATTCTAAATTGCATTGAACAAATTCGAAGCTAGTTTGATGACTATAATATTGTTGTGTAAAACAGCCATCAAAATTCAAGAGTTCAATTATTTGTCTTGGTATATAGATGGAGAATACAGTATTGCCATAATGCCATCATAAGAAATTACAAATTCCGTTGAAAGAAGGTATTGCCATCGTAAGGATCCCAAACCACCTGTTTCAGCTTTGAGTTGCCTGTACCAAGTTCCTATGATAACTAACTTAACAGCTTCAAATCGATTCTATTTATAGAACTATCGTTTTCTAGATTGCCTTTTTCTCCTAGTTCTCTCTCAAAAACGTCATTACCGATAACTTTTGAGTTATGATGACCATGCATGAAATGGCTAATCACGTGCCACCGGGCGGGCATTAGGAATAACATGTTTATCACAAAATGAAGGCCAGAGAAATATCGGGAAACCAATTAAGCCAGGAGCCAGAGTGGTCTAAACTCGAAGCGCCGCCGCTTGCCCGATAAAAAACGTCATGCAAAGGTAGTTTGCGCTTTATGTACCTAATCTTAGCGATTCGAAAATTAGCCAGAAACGATTTGAATAATTTGCGATTCGATTTCGAATATTTGGTTTACCCAATGCCATCTCTTTTTTATGTCGAAGCCCTTGCTTCGACTGACGTCCTCCCCCATCTTTTATATTTAATTTTGAATGTCATAATAATCCAAAATACAGAAAAAAGACTTAAATGAAACACTTGCTACAATGACAGACTTACTTTATCGTCAGTCCATGTGTATCATTGACTACTCCCTCATTAGTCACTTTCATAGGCTGCAACACATCTTTCTGTCTAACTATTGTATGACCTGAAATATATTACACTACTTTAAAAACAAAGAAGGATGAATGATCATAAAAACATGAGCCTGAAATGGTAAAAAAGTCTGCAATTGGCAGCGCAGCAGCAGCTAATCAGATTCTAACATAATGATTACACACATTCACTTGTGATACAGAGTTGATCACAGTTTATTTCTCTCATCAATGTTTAAAGACTTTTATCAGATGCAAAAATATATTTATGTCAATGTAAAACAACAAGCAAGTCTGCTAAGTCAATTAAAACAATTATTCCTACTACTGCTGCAGAACTTATATAAATGATCCACTACCACAAATGAATAGAAGATATGTAGTCTCCCAGAAATTGATAGTCTTACAAAGTTACAATAAATAACAACCTCTTGAAACAGTCGTAACATTCTTATGCTTTCCTTGATGATACATTGAAAGATCAGGTGACAAAACTTCAACTTCTAAGGAGCCTGCTTTTCGTATTGACAATATTTCTTCGTGATTCATTCTGGAAAATTTTACTCTTTCACCATTCATTGTCACAGGCAGTGTATTGTTTGAATGAAAAAATGAAGTCATTGTATGGCTTGTATGTGTAGATGATGTTTGTGGATATTGTGAAGAACACAATGTAGAATCATTCCGAAGACAATGCAGTTGAGCAGCAATACTTTCATTACAATGTGAAGAGATATCTACTGAAGATGTTGTTCGTGCAAAGTAACGAGAACATTGTGAATCTGTTAACAGTAAGAAGAGCTGGTTTGAAAGCACAACAATGGCTCCAAGAAACTCCAAAGCCACAGTATATTAAAAATGTAAATTCAGTTCTGGCACTTCATTTTTCACCTTGAAGCTCTGCTCCATAGCCAATATGGTGTTTGGTATGATCATTGCCCGAATGTAGTTTCGTGGGAGTAGAACTCAAAAGTATGATACAAGTGTTTCAAATTTTAAAAGCATACTTCTCTATTTGTAGGAAGTATTAGAAAATTATAAATGGGAAAAAATAATCAGATGGTTAAAATCAACTAACATTTTAGTAGCTCCAGCTTTGTCTATTATGGTAAGCTTGGCTTCAGCCCCCAAAATATCACAACTCCCAAGCCCTGCATCTGAGAATGATCATATTTGAATGACTCTTATCTCTCTCTATTTTCCTTAGAAACTCAAGTCACCTTCTCACAAGCAATAGTAATATTTTTCAAGATGAATTCAATATTGAAAACATGAATTGAATGAACTGGTTTAGGATTGGATCCAATTTATATAATATTATTTTCTTTCCACTCACCTCGAGAAATAACCGATTTGGATTCAACTGGCTGAATAGCAGGTGTAATCATGGAGTTCATTGTAAATCGTAAATGTCAAGATTTCAGAACATACACAGGTTCAAAACAACCATTAATACTACTTATGTCGATAAGTAAAAATCAAGTAGATACTATTTGAATACAGTAAAAACATTAGGTAAAAACATTGAGACCTATAATTTCATGACATTTTTCACTTCTTGATGAAGATTACAAATAATTCATAATACAGAAGCACAGATACATCAAATACCAAATAACATTTGAACAAAAGTTGGAATGCCGTAGTATTTCATGAAAAATAAATTGAAAGGACACATATATTGCATGACTCAAGACAAATGAATACTTGAGATACGAGGAGTACTAAACACTGGGATTAGAAGATGTTGGCCCATATAATATGAATGAAATATTTTTTTGTTTTATTCATCACAATCAATTTTCAAATAATTTTGGGGCGTTCAGAGCGAAATTCTATGACAGCAATATATCCCTCTGATTATCCCTTAACTAACCATTGGAGTGAGTTGGTCAGCTGATGCTATATCCTTACTGAACAAGTAACGAAACTGAAAGAAAATTTTTTTTTCGAATGACCATTCTTCCTTTTCTCCTTGGATGAATATAAACATGATCGAAAAAGAATTCTGTCAACCTTTTGAACATAAATCATAATCTCCTCAATCAGCCCATTGCATATTCCGTACCATGTAGTCCGCGACAAACGAGAGAAAATTCCCTAACTAGATCTCTGTACTTCCGCTTTCCAGCTCGCTCTCGTAAAAAGTTGGGTCATGAACATGTCTTTCTTTACTTTGTCCACATTTGTGCACGGAAACGTCAGGAACATGTCGTAGTTCATGAACCCATATCGCGAACTGTTGAAAATTGAACTTGGACAGAGCAAAATATGACATCTGCAACATTTTCTATAACAGTTCTTGTGGCTAATCCCCCCATACCTTTCAAAGCTGCAATGAGTATATCCTTACCGATCTGATTAAAAACCAATGTAGATTCTGGCCGAGGGGAACAGTTTGCAAAGAATCCAAAAATGAATGATGAAGAACTTTTCACTGATTCAGACTCTGGGAGACTAAATGTGGCAAGAGCACAATGAATTAGCAATTGCAAATCAGGACGCGGGAGAGGAGGGTTGCCAGAAACTTCATTGAACAACATACCATAGTTTTTCCGTAATGTATGAGATAGAAGTTTCATGAAACCTTGAGCAAGATCAGGATATTCTTTTGCATGGCCACCTTCAAACATTCGTCTACTTGTTTCAATTATTGGTCCGAAACAATGTTCCAAATTGCTCGTTCGTGTGCTGAATCATTTCCAAAAACAAGCATGATCTGCTGTGTTAGATCTAAAACTGAAGTTTGCGGAGCCGCTTGGAAAACTTTGGCAAGAATATCACATAAAGTTTCAACAAGTGGAGAAAATCCCTGAATAAGATTTCTGATAGATCTGTCATACAGGTCACAAATTGCTTGAACGATTGCAACATCAGTTAACCAGCGATTTAATATTTCTTGCAATATTGGTGTAATTTGTTGTAGAATCAAAAGCACTGGTTGCTTTTCATCAGCATCTACTTGGACCTTCTCATCAGTGGTATCACCCTTGCGGCGGTCGAGTGTTGAAAACAAACTTGCCAATATCTCTAAAATATGAATAATGCTGTTTTTAGTTGGTCCTGATGGTGGATCTTCCGACAATGCTCGCAACTGGTGCATATGAAGCATGAGAACACTCTGCAATCGTCTTATGCATTCATCTTCTGATAAAAGAAAGCATATGACCGACTGATTGCATTAACCAATTGACTTCATTGTTTTTCAAAATTCCTTTAGTTAATGCATCTTGAGCTGTACCTAGTATTACTTCTGCTTGTGGTACAAGATGTTCTTTACATTCTCGAGTTATTCTTTTCAAAGTCAGAACAGTGGTCATTGCAAGATCATGCGTTCGTATGCATGGAAGAACAATAGGAATCAATAAAGATAGATACTGGGGGTTATACACCAACCATTCAGTCAGAGCTCCAATAGTGTATAGAAGAGTATCAGCCAATGTTAGATTTTCTACTTTTATTGTTGGCAAAACCTGTGAAAGTTCATTCAAACAATCTAAATCAACATCCCAGTCTGCCATTGATTCAACCACAGAATGTATAGCAAATAATATAGATTCAGTTTCCTGCCATTGGTAATCTTGCTTCTCATGCATTGATTTAACACTTTGTAGAAGTTTACCACAAAGAAAACGTACCATATTTGTACCAAGCATTTCAAGAATATACATTAATGTATCAGAAATATCAATTCTGTAAATTCTATGCTGCTCTTTTTCATCACTCGACCAGTCAGTATGTGAAACAGAGACTGGATAGCTTGACTTCTGTACCAATGTCTCCACCAAATGATAATAAATTGGCTGGATTTGAGGAAAAATAGACATATCAGATTCCGGTAAACTTCTCACTTCATCTTGTAAAGAATACCAGAAAGTAAATGTAATTGGGCTTCCCATTTCTTCAGTCGGATATTGTAAACGAATACCGGTACATTCGGCAACCATTAAAACAAGGCCAAGACCTATTTCTGGATTGTTATAATTCTCTAAAATCAACTTGGTCTGATTTTCTGCAAGTCCGCTAACAATTTTTGTAATTCCGATACAAACATCTGCATCTTGATCTTCAATTGCCTGATGAAGCATTGGACGAAGTGATAAAACCTTAGGAATGATTTCCTTTATTGTATTCACATACTTATGAATACCTGGTGAGCAAAAAGTATTTAAAAGGCATTCAACACAATTATCAAATAAATCGGGGTCATCAATAAAAGATATAGTTTTATGAAGAATGTCTTTATATTCATTGATCGGTATTCCAAGTATTACCCAGCTTGAGAAACATTTCAAAATTTTTCCATGCGTTTCATTGAAATCTTCAGAATTCATTAAATTAGAAAGTAATGGTAGAACGTGAGGCATTCCTTGAATTAACATGTGTTTAACAATTCCTTTTTGATATTGCTCCATTGTTCTGCTGTGATGTTCCTCAGCTAGGACAGCGAGGATTTCCAGTAAAGCTGAGCATCTTTGCATTGGAGATACATTGGCAGTTTCATCTTCTTGTAGTCTTTTAATAATATCAGAAATAACTGTGTCCCATTTTTTCATGAGTACGCAATTCATAACAAATGATGAAAATGCTACGCAAATTCTGGTTAAAATGATACGATTTTGTGGAGATACACATAAGCGAAGAATCTCAGAAAAAAGTCGTTCACGTAAACTATCAATTTCATTTTCAGGAACTTCATTCCACGATCCTGATATCTTTGAAACCAAAGCGCTCGCTCCAAAATATTGAACTTCAGTCAAACGGTTTGGTTGCAATAGATCCCATGAAAACTGCCAAGCCTAGAAATAAATAAGTTAAATTATTCTTCATTATAAGACCAGATGTTGATCGCATACAATGGGGCAATGCACAAATATATATAGCCAGGCTACTGCGGCCTAATTACAGGTTGCACTCACTGAATCAATTAGTAAAAAGTTATGAAATTGCTCAATCAGTCAAGTCTGTCTTAAAAAGGGTTGGAAAATTGAAAACAGTAGCTTCATTAGCTAAGAATTTAGCAAATTTTGTCCCAACAACAAAAATAATAAAATACCTATTTTTAATCTGTTATAGTAATACATCTGAGAATCTAATTCTTGTTTATTATTTGGGAAGCTACTTGAGGTTGAGTTCCACTACTTGATAATAACATTTGCTCAAATTGTTTTATCAGATTAAAATAACCAGTGAATAGAGCTCTTAATATATGGTACTTGTTTTGATCTTTGGGCAAATGTTAGCCATCTTTGTGCTGTGTCTTTTGTAGATGAAACAGGATCATAGTACAGTTGATGTAATGCCTTTTCAATGTTATCCACAGTAAATTCAGGCGCATTATCGGTGGTCATATCCGTAACAACAACTGAACAAGTGCTCTGGTCTAGATGAATTATCTTAGTTGGTAAATATAAACACTGTAATAGAAGAATAAAAGATGCAAATTATGAGACAAGAAATTGTAGTATCTTGAAATTTAGAAAATATGTAAGCACTAATGGACGAAATCCATCCCTCAGAAAACAATTACCGATAAATTGAGGAAATGGGATAAAAAGGTTATTTTTCCATTAAAAACAAAAATTTATTAATAATGGCCCGAATACTGGCATCGATTATGATATACCAAATTTTCAGACAACAAACTGAAATAAACATTTATGAGAGGAAAACGGCCACAGACGGTATGTAGGTATCAGTTGGGGTTACGCAAGAATAACTCTTCCTCCATGCTTTTGCTCTCGTACATTTTTATGTGCATAATGCAAATAGGCTGTAGCAGGAATAAAGATGACTGTGATATGTGATTTAAAAGCTTGCTGCAGTTGAAATATGCGTGTCTGAAGAAGTTTGATCCTGGTCAGGAAAAATCTTACAGATATAAAATAGTGTTGTATGCAACGAAACTCTCTAATCACATATAACACAAGCAATTCACATAATTCCAGGTTTTACATGACATAAAGCTCCGACAGTGTAACAAAAAACAAGATGGGACTATCATAAATTCTTCTTCTCAAGATAAATCTCAAGTTAGGGATGCAATACCTAATGCAACATATCCATTAAATACATAGGTACCTAATATGAAAATATACCATCTATGATATGCATGAAATACATGAAGGCCTGCTAGTTAAACTATTGAACTATAATAATGGAAATCGTACAATGTCAAATATATTCATGACTTTCTGGTTTAGCCACCGATAAAAAAATTTGAATTCTGTGCTATGAAAATTGTTAGTATATAACATCATGGTAACTCTTCTTCATGATGATGTCTGTGATGCTTACGGTGCTTATGATGCCTCCTTTCTTTTTCATTATCTCTAGATCTAGTCTTTGGTTCTTTTTCTACCTCTGCTTGTTGTGGCTTTGATTTCTCACTTTTCTGCTGATTTGCTTCATCGTCTTCTCCGTCCTTTACAGTTTCCTCATCCTCTACATTACTAGACACCTTTTTTCTTTTTACAATTAAAAATAAACCCACAAGAGCTATAACTAAGAGGATAGAAAAAACGACTGAAAGTATGGTACCCATGCTACTACATTTCTTCGTTTCTACTGCACTGTTAATTTTCTCCTCATTCGATCGTGACTGGATAAATCTAGCACTGCTTCTTAAACTTTGAACTTTAGCAGGAAGTAAGGTGGACACACTTTTCTTTAAACTAACTTCATGGAAGCTAGGGGTTGAAGTCACTAAAACAATGCTATAATACCAATCATGATTCAGAGCAAATTTTTTAGATTCATAATCATTACTAGGTGAACCATCATTACCTATATTACAACTACTAAGTGTGCTTTGATTAAGATATATATCAATATACTGTTCCTGTATATCTGATCTCTTCAGAGCTGCTGCAATGAAGTCTTTATTTAATTCGTTTGAACTTTCACTTGCTTGCTTCAATTGCTTTACTGAATATCCTGTACTTGTACTAGATAGCATTCGTTTTTCCGTTGGTCGCATTATCAGGAACAAACAACTGATTGGCCCATTCTTTTCTTTTGGAATAGTTAACCTTAATGAGTATTGTCCATTGGACATGATCATGAGACCTGGGCTTGGGATAAAGTCGGGGCCTGATGGTTCTGTTGTACATTCCCCCTCCGCTTCCACAGCTTTGCTGAACCTCCCACAACCTGCGGTCTGCACCGTCACAGTGTATCGCCGATTTGACTCCACTTTGAAGGAATACTTCGTTTCAATCTCAATGTTAGCAACCATTTTATCAATATAAGCATCATCATCAGCATCTAGGTCACTTGCATGATTTGATTTCACCACAATTTTAAAACCTGTATAATCTTCCTTCGGCATTTTTTCCGGAATCATCCACATGACTTGGCATTCTTTTCTATCGGTATTGTACTGCATTTCAACATCTGTCGGACTTGTAGGTCCACCAAGAAAATAAACCTCTGGTATAACACTTTTCACTGGACCACAACAACAAACTGTCGTGCACATGCTGAGCTCAATTCTGTAATTTGTATATGGTTCAAGTCCATCCTTTAATTTAGTGGTTTTGGGAATACCCATTTCTCCTGCACGGACTCTATAAATTAGCGGAGGATCATCAAGATGAGTATCAAGGTTAATCAGTCGGAAATTATAATTAAAACTTGAAGATAAAAAGCTATCAGAATTCCAAGTAATGCTAATAGAATCTGCACATTTTTCGTTGGTTTCGGGTTGTAGTGTCAAAGGCCGTTGTTTATTTTTCAAAGTACACAATGCATGACCTTTTTTGTTACAATATTCTAAACTGATTTTAAATGGATCATCTTTCATCACACCTGCACACATTGGTGCTCTGTAGGCAATCTCTGCAGCCTCCTTCATTACCACCAATGCCTGTGCAGACCAGTCTCCAAAGAATCTGGTAGTTTCGTCATCATATCGAAATTGATCAGGTCGTTCTAATAATCCCAGCCAGTACAACTCGCTTTCTCCCAATTTATTATCACCATTGACGAAATTTGCAATAGCCAGTTTGGTACCTTCATCATAGAATTGTGCTAATTCCATCTTTGACTTTTGACATTTTTCTTTAGCCTCCTTACGAGGAACAAACGCTTCTTTAAGTGGATTGATAACTGCAGATTCTGACCCATAATAACCACCTGCCTTCATGTTGCAGGTATATGCAGGTTGCAGGTACTGAAGTGCAATCCATAATATCCCAATCATGCCTGTGATTTTAAAAGTCATTTCGCCAGTGCATTGAAAACAGAAGTCTAAATCAAAAATCTGATAAAAAAAAGGATAGTACATGCTAATTACATGATCTGATCAAGATTATCTGAGTGCACCAGCATATGAGACTTGGTGAGCTATTCGTTCGTTTATCAATATGCTTGTCAAATATGTGGGAAAAATTTATTGTGGGCCTGTAAATAATGGTTGACCTCTTCATGGGCTTCGTAAAACCAAGAGTTTGATAACTCCGGACCCAAGCCAAGTGATTACTAAATTAAGTATCAAAGTATTATTTTATAAAATATACGCCACTATGACATCACAGTAACGTAATAACTAATAAGGCCCTCCAAACTTCATTAACTGTCACCCAAGATGAGCAGACTATCACCCGAAATCGAGCAGACTACTTCTCTCATTTTTTATCGTACCGATCCTGATATACAAGAGATCGCTAACGTTCAGACGTTTGGTGAGTTTGTTATCGTTTGAGAAGATGCCATTTTGAGTGATCGTAGCTATCAGGCTATACTTTAACAAGCTCTTTGATGTAATGAAAAAATCTTTGGCTGACAGAGCCAGGTGGGGATTAGGAATAACATATGGCTGTGCCCTGTTAAATAGAAGCACTTACGTCGTTGAGTGAACATGTGTCAAGAAATCATATATTCAAACCAGCAAACTTAATAGAGCTAATGCTGCCAAATAATATGTGGTCATAATCTAATAAATACTACTGTACTAGCCTATAATATGATCAGTCAATCAAATTTATTCTGGTCCATCTGGTATAAAACAAAACTAAAGGGTCTTACTACTTACTGAATACAGCGCAAAACACCGCAAAGAGCGCGAAACAGCGCAAAAGAGCGCGAAACAGCGCAAAAGAGAGGAAAACAGCGCGAAACAGAAGGAAACCAGCGCAAAACAGAGGGAAACAGCGCAAAACGGGAGACGCAGTCATTACCACCTCCTGCCACGAAAGAACCACGGCGCCTCTCGCCATGGTTTTATGGCGCTATTTCTGGCATATTTACAAGGTTATGTACCGGATTATAGGTCATCATGCGAAATTTTATCTACCTTTTTGGTGCTCCAGAAGTATGTGCAGCAATATGTCGCACAACCTGAATCCGCTACACACACACACACACATACTATTTTCAGGTTGTGCGCCATCTTGGTGCACATACTTCTGGAGGTCCCTTTTTACCTAACCCTAACCCTAAAGCCAACCATATCCATATGGAAAATGTTCTAAATTATGGTACCCAAAATGTGTCACCAGCAGGGGCAGACCTGCCATTACAGCATTACTGGCTACATACGTTGGTTTGTGTTTTTAATTTGCTGCCGTGGTACTCCAACTCAAAACAAGGTGCCCCGAACTCATTGCAAAATTTTTTTCTGCTTCACACTGTTTCCCTCTGTTTTGCGCTCTTTCGCGCTGTTTCCACACTGTTTTGCGCTGTTTCGCGCTGTTTCGCGCTGTTTTGCGCTGTTTTGCGCTGTTTTGCGCTGTTTCGCGCTGTTTTGCGCTCTTTGCGGTGTTTCGCGCTGTATTCAGTAAGTAGTAAGACCGAAACTAAATGGACAAATAAAATACAGAGGACCTGAAAGACGAGCATAACTCAAGAAATAGTTGAAACTTACAAGTACGCGCCCGTCTACCAAAACAGTTGAAGCTCACAACTAATAAATACACAAGATACAAAATCGAGCAATAACTTGGAAGTTGAAATTCGATTCAAGTTGGCCAGAGTTTCCAAATTCCAAGAATGTCCCGATATTGGTTCAATAAAACAAACACTCCATGCGTCTCACAAACGAGGGGCGTCTACCATAAATGCAGATCTGTCATATCGTGCCATGCTTGTCTCATATATAATCTAAATTATTCGCAGCTGTCAAGTGCCCAAAATTGCCATTTTTTCTAAAAACTCTTGAATGCCACAGTAAATTATTTTTCCCAAGGAATTCAATGATGACGTTTTTAAATTGTGTTTATTGACAACTTCATTTTTTTTAATTTTTACCAACATTGAGGGGCACAATGTCAGAACCTCAAAAGAGGGGTGTTTGTTCATCTGCAACGGAGGGAATTTCTGAAATGAGACAATGTCTCTGTAAAGTGTGCCGTACTATAAGATGTGAAAACACTGATCAAAAAAAGAACAGGGCAACTTTTTTTTATAAATTTTGTGA